CTCCCCTCCCCTCCCTCCCACATCTCACCCACATTGCCCTCTTTTGGTTCAAAGCCATTCCCCTCCCCACCCCCATAAAGCACTGCAAACCCCCCCAGAGACCCTGACAACCCATCAGATACTGATGGGAAACCAAGGACCCCATTGGGTGCCAAGGACCCCGAGGAGGGGACAGAAACACCCAAAACGTGTCGGGGTCCCCAGAAGGTACCAGAAACCCCATAGGGTGCCAGGGACCCCCTAAGAATCCCTGACACATTTTAGGGATCTCTGGAACATTATGGGGTCCTCGGCACCCAATGGGGTTCCTGATATCCCCTAAGGGTCTCTGATGTGTTATGAGAATCCTTGGCACCCCTGTAGGTTCACTGCTATGTTCTGGGGTCCCTGACACCCTGTGGGGTTCCTGGTGCCTACAGGGGATCCTCTGACACATTTTGGGGTCCTGGCACCCTATAGGGTTTCTGTCCCCTACTGGTGACCCCCATCTTGTTATGGGATACCTGAAACTCCTAGGGACCTCTTACACACTATGGGGTCTCTGGCACTTTATGGGATCCCTGTCCTTCCTGGTGACCCCTGACGCACTGTGGGGTCCCTGGCACCTTAATGGGTTCCTGGCACCCCTGGGGACCCCTGACACATTATGGGATCCCTGGCATCTTATGGGGTTTCTTGTACTTCCTGGGGACCCCTGATACATCATGGGGTCCCTGGCTCCTCCTGGTGACCCCTGCCACACTGGTGGGTCCCTGTCACCCTATGGGGTCCGTGGCACCTCTTTGCGACCCTGTGACTTCTTATGGGTTCTCTGGCTTTTCTGGGGACCCCTGACTCAGTGTGGGTCCCTGGCACTCCGTTGGATCGCTGGCCCCTCCTGGCACATTATGGGGTTCCTGGCACTCTACGGGGTCCCAAACACCTATGGGATCCCTAGTCCCTCCTGGCGCTCCCCTGATACATGATGGGTTCCCTGGCCCCTCTAGTGACTCCTGACACGCCGTGGGTCCCTGGCACCGACGGGGTCTGGCCCCTCTCCCACCCTTCAGGCGCACACCTTGCTGGTGACGGTGGCGTTGGAGCCCTCAGCCACGGGCGCGCTGGTGGCTTGCACAAAGAGATACTCGTTGTCCAGCAGCGGCCAGGCTCCCTCCACCCGGCACGTGTGGAAATCGTCGTGGAACGTGCGGACGTGGGGGTCCCCGAAGGCGGCGCAGTGCCGGTAGCGCGGCGGGCGGCCGTGCTTGGAGCGGAACGTCTTCTCGTAGTCGCACATCTCCGAAGCCGGGAAGCTTTGGTGATCCGGGGTCGGCGCGCGCGGCCGGGGAGGTGAGGTGGGACCGTCCTTGGAGCAGTTGTGTTGGATCATCAGGTCCTCGATGCCGTGCACGGCGGAGTGGAAGGCCAGGTCGCCGCGGCAGGTGCGCGCCGTGCGGCGTGTGCAGTGCGAGTAGGAGCGCAGCGCCGTGCAGTAGGCGGCAGAGCGGCCCGCGCCGCGCAGGTTGAGCGTGGCTGCCACAAAGTCGGAGTTGCAGCGCAGGATCTTGCACTGGGAAGACACTGGGGGAGGTGGGGAGGGGGTGGGGTGGGGTGGGAAGGAGGGGTTATGGGATGGGATGGGAGGAGAGACGGGATGGATTGGGGTGGGATGGGATGGGAGAGCATCGGATGGGGAGGGAGGGGAGGGGGGGGGGGGGGGGGGGGGGGGGGGGGGGGGGGGGGGGGGGGGG